TTTTTTTTTGGTTTTCAAACATTTCTTTTTATTTTTTTATTTTTTGTCTTGTTCATTTCTACTTCTCTCTCTCTTTTTTTTATTTCAGCATATTATGGGGGTACAGATGTTTAGGTTACGTATGTTGCCCTTGTCCCACCCCCCAAGTCCGAGCTTCAAGCGTGTCCATCCCCCAGATAGTGCGCGTCGCACGCTTTGTGTATGCATATACCCGTCCCCTCCTCCCCCCTCTCCCCTGCCCAACATCCAATAAATGTTATTCTTATATGTGCACTTATGTATTGACCAGTTAATACCAATTTGATGGTGAGTACATGTGGTTCTGTTTTTCCATTCTTGGGATACTTCACTTAGTAGAATGTGTTCTAGCTCTTTCCAGGAGAATACAAGAGGTGCTATATCACCATTGTTTCTTAAAGCTGAATAGTACTCCATGGTATAAATATATTACATTTTATTAATCCACTCATGTGTGTCCCAGATCTTTGCATCTTTGTCACCTTGTCAGAGAGGCTTTCCAAATTACCCTAGCTAAAACACCCCATGCCCTGACTCCCCAAATCAATATTTTATTTTGTATATCCTCTGACACGTGTAAGTAGAATAGCAAAAATTATTTATTATTGTGTTAATCTATGTATTGTGTGCTTTCACCCCTAGAATTTACACTCCTTGAAGACAGGGATTTTATCACTGTTTTTTTCACCACTGTGTCCCTGGAGCCTAGAACAGTGCCCTGTTCATTATTTTATTCTTAGTACCCAGCAGAGTGCCTAACATATCACAGATGCTCAGCAAATGCATATTAAATAAATTACCCTAAAATTCTCACATACTGTTGAAAGTAATTGTTCCCATTATAATTCCTATTTAGGAATATTTTTACTGGATAAAAAGCAGAAGCAACAAGGATAAAGACAACAATAATAATAGCTACCATGCATTGGATACTTAAACTAGGTGGCAAGGATTGTACAAAACCCTTTTTGTAAAAAATTGCATTTAATATTCATACCAAACCTATGAAATTGGGACTAGAATTACCTATTATCATTTTACAAATGAGGAAAGAGGCGTAGAGAAGTCCGGTAACTTCTCTACGCCCAAGTTCACACAGGTAATGAACATCAGGACAGAGGCTTTAATCCAGTCCTGTGTGGAACCAATGCAACGATCCTACCCACTCTGCTGTGCTAGTAGTCTCAAGAAAGCAGCCATTTCATACAACTGTAGAATCAAAGGATCTGAAGGGACCTGCAACTGATCTGATCCTCTGCCACATTCTATCTGAATGATAGTTTAGTCTCTGAGTTTAGATCTGTCTATTTATAATTTCCACCCATTGGTCTTAATTTCACCCCTTTATTTCAGAGACATGGTTGTTCATAGTAACTCATTTCTTTTAACATATATAGGTATTTTTCAGTCAGGTGTCTGTAAATGCTGGTGGCATTTGAAAATCTAAGTAAACTGTTATAGTTCAAGACCATTTCAGAGACGAGGAATGAGTAAATATTAACAACCCCTTGTGCTTGGTTGGAACTCGAAAGGACTGCATGACATCAATGAACAAGCTTCTGTCAATCACAATCTAGACCAGATTAGTCTTAAAGTCCAAAGAAGAACCAAAGTTCATCTTAGTGCAGAAGTTTCTGTGTAGTTTTCCTGCTTATTGTTTCCCAGTTTAAGGAAAAGAGAATGATGAAGGAGAAAGAGAAAACCATTGCTATTGTGAAGGTTATAGACACTTCAAAGTTGAAACTGGTGAGCGAGTACATTTTGGAATTCTTTCAGTGTTTGGAGATGAAACCACCTAACCTACTGAATTTAAACTTTATAGACTTATAGTCAATAAAACAAGGTATGTAGAAACTGAGCTTTGAAATGCTTAGAATGTAATCTGCTGTATTGCAAAATCTATTTACTTAAAAGATTGTTTTTAGTGTTCCCGACTATAGGAAAAAAATTATGACAGTGTATTTAGTAAAAAATTATCAAAACTAAAATAATGTTTTGTTGTGACTTTTTTGTCAACAAGATGAGGGTTTCACACTGTTTGTTGCAGTTTTTTTAATTTAATAATTGTTTTCATTAATTTAGCACTAAATAGATTATGTGCATATAAAATGTGTGATGTAAAAGTATTTATGCTATCATTTTCTGTTTTATATGTATCTTTTCTACTTGCATTATATAAACCAGCTGATGAAGGACAAGGGATTTCCCACTCCAGCTCAATGCATTATTTTTATTTATTCATAATAGGACAAAAATAATAACAATAATAACACAGTGGGATTTCTTTGTTCAAAGTTTATCATTCAAACCTCATAGCTCTGCTTTAGCAAAGAAAATAAGAGAAAAATAATAAATGGTGTGTGTCCTAAAACCAGGAAAATTTGGTTTATGGCATGTAGATGGATAAACACCATTATTGTCTTTATGGAAAGACAATAATCTTTCAAACACCAATTTTTCATGTGTGCATACATTGTGTATTGTATGTGCCCTACGGTGATCCTCTTTATACCTGCTTTAGCTTTTTTTATGTCTATAGTTATTCTAATAGTCTCATGCTCATTTTAGGTTCACAGTGAATGTCTCCACAAAAAGCAAAATAGAGGATCCAAACAACTCAAAAGTTTGCCTTAAGTTTCCTTGAAACTCACCCTAAATATGTGATCTCTCTTTCTCTCACACACACATAAGAACTAGGATATTTTTGCCTTTTGATATCTACACTAAGAAATTATCTGGAAGTATTTGTGACTATATATAAGATTTTCTGTCCTTTTTGTATTTATAATGAGATTATATATACACACACACACATACACATACACACACACACACATATATTTCAAAAAATTCTCAGCGTTTACATAAATAATCCATTCTCAGGAACATGATGAGTATATGCTGTGGTACCCTCTCTCTTGCTAAGTGAGTGAAAATTAAGAGTGATAAAACAATAATATAAATCAATTAGAAAAAATATTACAAATTTTTTAGTCTTAGAGTATTTGGGTGAAGAGAAAAATAAACCAGACCCGGCATGAGGAAGAGTGTTGGAGAGAGCTTACCCTAAGAAGAGCCTAGATTAGAGGGCAGATTGGATTTTCATGCTTATTGAAGTGGTGAGGACATTTGAGGTATGGAAAATAGCAGTGGCAAAGAGTAAAACTGAGAAAACTATAATCCAATGCCTTCCATCCTTTTTGAGCACTCAAAACACTTTAAAGTGTTAAAGGCAAGGGCCTTTTCACAGTGGGGTAAGGTAATTAAGAATCCAGCCTTTCTGTCAGGCAGGCCTGGGTTTGAATCCAAGCCCTCTATGCATTTATTTATAAAGCTATATAATCTTGAGATAATTACTGCATTTCTCAGAGCTTTAATTAATTTACATTTAAAGTGGTAATTCTAATACTTACCCCA